GACATAGAACAGTAAGTCGGGGTGTGCCATGTAGGTGAGAGCACAGGCTCTGGGGACAGAGAGACTGGAGTTTGAATCTCAGAGATACCATTTCCTACTGTGTGACCTTGAGCAAGTTGACGTCTCTATGACTCAGTTTTCCGTTTCAGTCTGTGAAACGGGAATAATAATAGTCCCCATATGCAAGACTGATGTGAGGTTTATATGAAAACAGAAAATAAGAGGGATAATTCAGGTAAACCCTTCATAGCGTGCCCTGGTCATCATAAGCATATGATTAGTTCTGGGAACTAAAATGCCTTAAGGATTATGGATGAATGGTTGTGACCTTGACAGAGATTTCTGAAAAGAGCTGGTATTTTGGTGAATATGAATTTTGTAGAACCAGACAATTTCTCCTTTCTCTTTATCTAAGGCTGCTAGATTCCTAGGATGTCCCCATTTAGATCTGTTTCCTCAGCAGTTTGTCATTTTTCATGTAGACGACCCTGCCAAATGCTGAACAGCTCCTGACTACTTCCTTAGCCAGGAGTAGCCCGGAAGGGACAAGTGGACAAGCATGAAAGATGTTCAGCCAGCATTGTGGTGGGTAGGAAAGGCTTCATTCATTCATTCATGCATTCATATCCCTGGACTCATCTTACCAGACGAAAACAAGGAAAACAAATGATAGAGTAACAAAAAAGGCTGATACATATATATATTTATATATGTATATATAGTTATATGCAAATATATATTTACAGAGTCCAGTATCACTGTGGTGTAACATAATAATTGTGATGATGAATAATTAAATTAGACATGGATATTTTATTATTTACTAACTGTCATGACGTATTCCAAGTACTTTATATATCTTAACTGATTTATTACTCACATTATAAAATAGATAAATATTATCACTTGCACTTTACAGATGAGGAAACTAAGACTCAGAGATCTTAAGTAATTGCCTAAGGTCACACAACTAATAAGAGCAGACTGGAATTTGAACCGAATTGACCTAGCCATGCCCATACTATGAAGCAATAGAACTAATCTCAGCTAGTTGCTAGAGAAATTTAAGAGAAGAGACAAAGTCATATTGAGATAAAGCAGAATAGTAGAACATCTGACAAACTCCAGTTTCTACCAAGTGAAACTTCTGACAGTTCAACAAACAAAGATGAATGAGGTGGGAGATTTGAATTATTGTTTAAAATGTTAATGCACTCAGTGTCCCAAGAGGATGATCAGTGAAGTTGAATTAATTATTTTTGTAAAAATACAAATGTGGACATTCCATTTTCTGTGATTCTATGGTCCTAGATCTGAGATGATTACATAATGGATTGGAACCAAAGGAATGCATTGCAATGCATTTTGCATGTTAATTTTGTTTTAATGCCTTTGGTTTAAATTATTCAAATACACACAACCAGGTATGCAAAGTTTAAGGAAATGTGAAGCTTTACGGGAAAACAGAACATCATGCTGAAAGTTAATGAGTAGTCATTCACAAGTGCACCCATTGGGACAAAACTTCATCTAGTGGTCTGGAGAGATATATTAAGGAGTTTGTATTATTTATATACATTATTAATTAATTAATTATCAATCAATATGTATCTATATACGTTATATTAAAGATAAACTAAAGGTAGTTTGTCAAATATTCTTTGGTTTCCAAAATATGTAGCAAATTTTGGAAGATTTTTTAAAAATGAAATAAATGGTGGAAACTTAAAATTAGGCATATGGAATCTGCTGTGAAGGTAAAAAAAAAAAAAAAAAAAAGGAGAAATAAAATAAGGCCAGAGCTGTAGAACTGGGGCATGTGACTGCGTAGAGCATGGATTTATTTTCTTGTAGAAGAATGCATCCTCTAATTATTGCCCCAGTGCAGTTAAGTCAAGAGAAATCACAATATTAGAGCCATCTGGGACCTTTGGTAAGTCTTCTCAACGTCAGTTTTAATCTGTTTTCTTCCGGGTCATATTCCAATGTTATTTAGCACTTAGTACATTGTCAAACAGTGGACAGACACTGAAATTGTAAACGAATGATGACATAAATGAATGATTTTAGGTTGCTAAAATCCATGTGATGCTTTTTCTTAAGTTTCAAATGTCCCGTACTGCAGTCTGATTGGATTTCATAGGTCACGTGTTCAATCCATGAGCTCCTCACTGGGCTACAACCTGAGATCATGCTAATGGGCTCCATCCGGGATCACGTGTCCAGCCTGGCGGTGGGGATGGCTTTTCCTTGGCACAAGGGCTCTGTACACTCACCGTCCAGGAACGATCGTACTCATCTTCCGGTTTTCTCTAAGGACTGAAGATATATATCTCCACTTTGTCATTAAAGTAGCTTTTCAGCTTTCCTCTGGGTCACGTTCCTATTCCTGGCCTTCACTTTCTTCTTTCTCCCTGAAAATGCCATTTGACTTCTCTTAGCGTGTGTAATGATCATCGCTACCTATAAACATTTTGAGTGATTTGGATTAGTGTCATTTTTGTCGTTAATATATAATTGTCGAAGGACTGGGTGGTGGCTGCTGGGAATTAGAAATGCAGAAGCAAGAATTTTAAGAATGAGAAAGGGTGGGGCGGGTGGCGGAGGAAGGGTGTGGATTGTGATCTGAGGCACATGCATAGGCAGTTTGGAATCTCCCTGAAATAACCTCAGAAGATACTGTTTTTCTAAAAATCTTAACCAAAAGAGAGATATGTAAATATCTGATCTTTTCAGTTTTTCCCCCACAGGTGATTAAAGGAAAATAAATTGCAGCATAACTACAGTGCTTTTAAATAAATGTAAAAATGTTTTATTGCTGAACAGTGTAAATATTAACAGTGCAAATGTTAACAAAATGTCTCTTTCTAAGGGAGTTGAATGCCTACCAGGTAACAGGTATCAAGCATAAACTACTTTAACAAAATCTTAGCAGCTCTCCCTGCCTCTGTTCTGTCTTTGCGCCAATCCATTCCAGAATTAGTGTTTAAGGTGTAACGATGAGCATTTCATTTCCTCAGTCAAAAACCTTAAATAGCTTTTTGTAGGTGTTTCCTGCTCAGGTAATTATTTTTTGAGGGAAATATCATGGTGTAGTGATGAACTTGTGTTTCACAGTCAGAGAATAATGGATTCAAATAGACTCTAAATCTTATGACATGTGGTCTCAGACAACTCAATTAAGCTCTCAGGTTACCAATTTTCAGTAAAACGGGGATAATAACTCTTATCAAATAATGGTGCCACAACTATTGTGTGTAATTAAAGAGCCCGATCCAATAAATGGTATTAAAATAATAAAAATATTAGCTATTAAATTATATAATAACAATCCAGTACTCTTATTATCCATATAAAAACAAGTCCAGTCAGGAATTCCCCATTTTATCTGTTGACTTATTTTTACTCATTCATCACTTAATCCTATGCTGCAGATTAAATGTATTTTGTTTCAAACTTACTCACAATTTTCTTATGGACAAGGGTTTTTTCTTGTATTGTGTATGTAGTAGGGACTCAGAAATATATGTTAACAATACAGAAGAAACATTTACCAAGTACCTAAAATGTAAATGTCATTTTGTGTGAAATGAAGACACTGAAAGACCAGAACATGTATGTGTGTTTGTGTGTATGTATGTATAAAATATGTCACCATTGTTAAAAGTGATTCTCATTTATTTGGTGTAGATGCCACAGGGTCCTTTTAAGATTTTACTTGGTTCTATAATATAATTTAGAAATCATCTCCATCTATGATTTCAAATAATCTGTTTTCACTCCTCTGTTCATCTTGCTCCATGTTTTAGTTCTATTATTTCACTTAAAATCTCTCCATACTTGAAGCTTCCCAATGATTCTCCTTTTCTATGACAAAGCCCTCAATAAACATGCCATCCAAGTTGAACTATCAGCCTGCTCATGCTCAGTGAATATCAACTCCTTCCTGAAAGAATTGTTAATGAAAGTAGTATACAACATTAAGGAAGCCTTAAGATGAATGACCTCAACGCAAAGGGAGAGACAGATATGGTGTCAAAAAAAAGAACCCATATGTTTGGGGCTTCCCTGGTGGTTCAGTGGTTGGGAATCTGCCTGCCAATGCAGGGGACACGGGTTCGATCCCTGGTCCGGGAAGATCCCACGTGCCGCGGAGCAACTAAGCCCGTGAGCCACAACTACTGAGCCTGCGCTCTAGAGCTCGTGAGCCACAACTACTGACCCCACATGCCACAACTACTGAAGCCCATGCGCCTAGAGCCCGTGCTCCGCAACAAGAGAAGCCACTGCAGTGAGAAGCCCGCGCACCACAAGGAAGAGCAGCCCCGCTCTCTGCAAGTAGAGAAAGCCAACGCAGCCAAAAATAAAATTAAATAAATAAAAAAAAAAGAACCCATATGTTTGAAAATCCCCACAAATATAATTCTAGCAGAGAAAATTATAAATTTATAAATATTAAAACAAGCTTCCCAAAACACTCGTTCCTCCTTTTCATTGAGTAGCTTCATTTCAGAAAATATATTTTTTGGTAGTGAAAAAACCACCTAGTAAATGGCTTTTTGATATCTAAAATGTATTTTGTTTCCTCTTGCTGCTACATCTTCTTAGCTCCAATGTCCCTAAGGTAATTTGTGTGGGCTAAAATTCACATCATCAACTTTGAGATTTTGTGAATATGAAAGAAGAAAATTTATACAATGAAGTGAATAATTCATATTTAAAATCCTTTCCAACTTTAATATATATGTATATATATATAATGTAAAAGATGTATTACAGGCTTTCAGGTTTTCTGAAAAGAACCTGAAGCACTGAATCTGATATATATGTATTTTTTAGTTTAGGATAAAAAAAATTATTAGCTATGGCTCCATCCTATTTTACTATTCAATAAGGCTTCACAGATATAACAAATTTGCTAAGATGATGAAGAGCTTTTAGAGAATTACTGTGACCACTATGATAATTAGTTTACTTCTGTTTCACTTTTTCTTTCACAGGTAGAGAATATCTATGAAGAAGGTTCAAACAGAGAGCATGCATAGGAGACTCTGGTGTCTAATCCCTCCCTCTTGAAATTTGTATTTTAAAAACATGTTCTTAAGTGGACTAACAGGTTTTCCAGCTATATTTGTCCTCTCTTGGATCAGCTCAATAAAGAGAACTAATGAAGCAGGACTATTTTAGAGAAATAGAAAAAACAGGAATTATGCCTTTAAGGAATTATGCTTAAAGATGCTGAAGTTATGTTGTTTGGGACTCCTTGACCCAACATTCCACTCTGACAACCTCAAACTCATTTTTTAATATTTTAAAAGATTAAGTCAGAAGTAAAATATGTAAACTTCTTCTCATGGTTCCAATTCCCCTGACTAGTTCTAGCAGTACCCGGTGAAGCAGGGCACTATGGGTACCAGTCCCTTACCAAAGGCCATTTTCTGTTGGCAGCTTCATTATAAGAAATGACTGGACATCTCAGTGGACACACCTCAGAAGAGGGGGAGTTCATGAATGACTGTGTTATTTTTGTAAGAGGCATGTAGAGTTGGTTAGAAAAATTTAACCTTCATTATGCTGTTAAAAATAAGAACGTAGCCAAAATCAACAACATAGCTAATAAAGTTTATAGAAGTTCCTTAATTTTATCTAATGTTCAGTCTATACTTAAATTTCACCTGCTGTTCCCAAAATGTCCTTTACTACGTGTTTGTCTAAACCAGGACCCAGTCAGGACTGTACATTGCATCTGGTCTTCTGTAAGTCAAAACCTGACATTGACTGGGTCAGGTGCACCATAGACATTCTGTAGACAAATTTTTCCCATTGTCTCCTCCTGTTGACGTTAACCTGTTCTCTTATTCCCTGTACCTCCAATAATATGAAAATTGACCTAAAAAGGATGATTAGATTCAAGATAAATATCTTTGGTTGGAATACATCGGAGACAATACTGTGTGTTCCATACTTTGTTACATCAAGATATGAATAATATCTGTTGCCATTTACGATGCTAAAATTGATCATTGGATTAGGGTGATGGTAGCTTGATTCATCTATTGCTTCCCCCTTGAGACAAAAAAAAATAATCCGTGTCATATTACTTTTGGTATCAAACAATATCCACTTCCTCATCAACCATTCACTATTTTTTTTTTTTTTGCCGTGCCGTGCAGCTTGCAAGATCTCAGTTCGCCGACCAGGGACTGAACGCAGGCCATGGCAATGAAAGCCCAGAATCCTAACTACTAGGCCACCAGGGAACTCCCAGCCATTCACTTTTTAAGGTTATTATGTCAATTGGTAATCCTTGCCTGTAGCAATAATTTTATTAAGGATTGCAAAATTATGGCTTTATTATACCATTTAATCTAAATCTATTAGGTGTCATTCTTCCATAAGATACAGCTTCTCTTGACCAACTGTGGTGTTTTGTTACTCTAAAATACAGTGTCTACAAAAAAAAAGGCAAGAAACCTGTAGAAACAATTTTAATGGTATTAGGTCAATGGTAGCTACTTTCCTCTAGTTGAGAGGCACAAAGCACGATTTTGTATTTAACATCAGAAACATATTTTTTCCTCTCAGCTCTTAGGTGTATCTCAAAAAGCAGTCATTAAAGATTGTTTAAAATTAAATGAATTCAAGGAATTTGTCACTTACGGAATCTTTCATGAATTTATAAAGTGGTGTAGTCATGATTCCTTAGGTCTTATACCTTCTCTACTCTGGCTCATCCCAAACACTTGTTTTATATTCATTTTATGTTTCTTAGAATCATATTGTATACTTCCTCAACCCGTGTCTTTTTTTCTACCTTCCACTACATATTAATAGAAAACCCATTCTTATAAGGTCCTGATGTGATTCCCAAGCACTCTGAGTAAAAGGGAGTGGAGAATAAAACAGCAAATTAAAGGTAACTTTCATTGTTCATGGTGAAAACTTGAACATGATCTTCATTTCTAGCATTGGGGACTACAGATTTTTTACATTTTATTTCATTTTAGAGTTTTTGATGTTTTCTGTCTTTTAAAATAGCAGAGAAGGTCAAAAAACCAAAATAACTGTGTAGCTAATATGTTGAAGGAATTTGACATCACAGTGTGTTAAGCCCCTCAGGGATGATCTATATATGGAGAAGGAATTTGGGGGGATTCTTCATTGACCATAGTGTGTCTTCACTTCTCACTCTGGTATTTGAGAAACATAATATAGAGTTTAAAATACCTGAACATTCTTATGGATTTCATGTGGTGAGATAAAACTAAGTGTTTTCAAGACATTATTGCATATTATTCACCTTGATGCCTATCAGGGTAATTCTTCAATCTAAGTCACTTTATGAATGCTGTTAATCATGTAATATAGATGATATATTTAAAGTGAATTGTTTTAATAAGGTTTTGACCTTCTAAGAATAATTCTCGTTTTACCAATAATTTTAAACCTTGGGTTTCTTTTTTTTCAGTGACATATTTACATTTTCAATCATCCTAGTAGAATTATTAGTTATATCATGGATGCATATTCTTGTTGTATATGTTTAAGATTGACAAGTGTCAAAGTTGCTGGTACTTGTGTACTTAAACTGAAAATTAAAATAGTCAAATCACTAGATAAAGCATTTCTACATAGAAATGTAGAATGTCATACATTTTCATGCAAGATTTTACTTAAATATATTTGCTTATAATGCTTGTTGGTGTGGCTCAGGAAAGTTTTTAGAAGAAATTTGAAGACTTGACATTTAATTTAAAGGCAATGTTAATATTATTGTTTGATATTGACTGAGGTTTTCTAAATTTGATATATAGAATTCCAGTGTAGAGATGATTTTCCGTATAGACTTAGATTGTTGTTATTTCTAAATATGTAATTGCAGTGTGGAATGATTTCCCATATGGTATGTTTGCCTACTAACCACTGTTTTTGAATAAATAGAGTTAATTCAAATCATCTAAAATATAATCACACACTATAAATCTCAGAATACATTAGTGTAGGAATTGGGAACATATGTTCTAGAGGCCAATTCTCTAGGCTTGATCTAACCTTGCTGTTACTCAATTTTCTCACTTGTAAAGTGGGGATAATAGTAGTATCTACTTGAAATAGTTACTGTGAGGATTCAGCGGATTCTTACTTATAAAGTCTTAGATTAGTGTCAAGCATGTTATACACACTCAATAAATATTGGCTAAAATTTAATTATGTCTTTCATTTCTCCCTTCTTCCTTACAGTAGCCACTATCACAGGCAAGACCATGAGTTTGAATATTAACACCCAAGTACAGAATTCAGTAGTAGATAAAATGAAAAATAGGCGTCTACCCAGTTTGCAGAATCAAACTGGTTCTTTGGTGACTTTTATTACTCGTCAAAAAAAAAAAAGAATTAAGGAACCAGAAATAGTTTTCAAGGATGTATACATATTTATGGAAAATCCAGCAGCATATGGAGTGACTATCCTGTTTTGTTGTTTTGAAGAAACAAAGATCTAGAAAAATCTTGCCCGTCTTGAATCTTTTTTTTTTTGCATACTTCTGTTAGAAAAGTTTGTCTGGGGTAGGGATATCTAAAGAGATAATTCTGGAAGATCAATACTTAAATTATTTAGTGATAGCTAGTTAGAGATTTTTTGAATTTTGTTTGGATTGTTATGCAAATAAGTAAAACACTGCTATCTCAATTTTTCATTTATCAAACTGATAATTTTTGTCAAAGTATTCCCCATGTAATCCCCGGTTATAGCAAACCATCACTTATTCAGACTAATAGGATATGGTGGAAAGTCTGGGTTGTGAAATATTCCAAAGTAAATTTTTATACAAAAGAAGAATTATTTTTATATAACTGATGAAATATGACTAAAGCTGCATGAAATAATTGTTACATAATAAAATTTGTGATAAAATCTCCTTTAATGAAGAGATAAATTTTAATTAGTTCACTGTTAATAAATAATTGATGCTTCTCAAGTACCTGAGAAGATTTGAAAATAGCTGGCTTTATGAGGGAGTACCTTCTCTTTGCAAAACACATTCGCTCTGTTTGATCTTTTTTGAAAAGTGGTTGGTGCAGAGGGAAATTTTGTAAGATTCAATAAAGTTTTGCTCTTTGGCCCTTTCTGTTTATTTCCAAAGGACCATATAGATCCATTGATCTAAACCTTAATTGTTTTCATGAGCTAGTAACAGAAAATAAAATATATAGGGTCAAGTGATTGAAAAAAATGTCCCTCTGTGCATGTACCCTCCAGGAAGGCAATCTGATGGTACAAAGGACCAGTTACACAGGTCAAGAATTGAGCTTTGGAACCACAGAGAGCCTGCTCCAGGCTCCACCACATACTGTAAGCTTGGGCAAGTGCACTGAGATCTCTAAGCCTCAATTTGCCCATCTGTAAAATAAGTATGACACTATCAGTATATGCATCATAAAACTATTGTAAGGATTAAACGACATGATGCATACAAAAGGGCTTAAAAGTGTCTTTCAGTGACTTTGTTAATTCTCGTCACCTAAGTTCCATCCTCTTGGTGGCGGCCAGAGGCTCTGATGTCTTCCTCGTCCAATTCATCAGTGAAACTTTATAGCTTCGTTGAATGGTTCACCCTACTGCTTGTTCTCCATGTACCCTTTGCTCCTTGGTAAGCTTACTAGCCTAAATCCATGGTGTTCTCTGCCACACGAGGCTGAAATGTGAGGGCTCCTGTGCCCTCTGGCTTCCGGTTGCTTTCCGTCAATGGGAAGTCTTGCTAAGGGATAGGAGGAAGGGAAGATAGAAGTCCTGGGACTAGTTCCTCTCTCCCTGTGAAGTTGAGGCTGCATTGAGCTGGCTCTATCTCTCCCTCCACCCAGGGTCACTGTTATACACAAAATAGGTGACTCTACATGACTCCCTCTTTGGAGGGTCTGGTGACTTCTCTGTCTTCTCATCCCATCAAGCCTAGTGGTGCTAACAGCCTGTCTCTGAATCCACAGCATTGTAATAATGCCCTTGTAAATACACCTTTCTCCTTCAAATCATCTAATTTTGAGAGTATATTTGTTTCTACCAGGAGTCTCACTGATACAGACCCTAAACTTGGGCTTTCTCTGTGCTTAAAGACAACAAAGCACCTCTTTTACTCTGACGCAGTAACATCACACCCGCCATGATGGTATGTGGGATATTATGGAACGTGGTCTCTTCTCAGTTTTAATTGGCAACCCGGCATAACCTATCTGTTCCTGAATTCCTCCTCAAACTATCTCGCACTCCTTCATCTCCTGCAGAATTTCTGCCTTGGAGAGGAAGTGTTAAGGAGAGAGAAAGCCATGACACACGTACGCTCGACTGCCTGCTTCTCTCACTTTTACCTCCTTTCCAATTCACAGTCCACTGGGAGGAAAAAGGGGGGGGAGGTTCCCTGCTTCCTCTTGCTTTTTAATTATGACTTCTTTCTAATGCCTTCCACACTGAGGAGGCATTTTCCCTCCCCAATTTTCGAAGCCACAACAGATGAATTTTGCTGAGAAACATGAGTTATAGGATAGAGGAATGCATAAACATGCATTTAATATTTTCAAAATTTCATCGTGTTGTATTTAAATCAGACAATATCATTCATTTGCTTAAACCCTTTACTGGCTTCCCAATTGCATATAACGTGTAGATTTGTTAACATTACCTCTGGGTTTAGCAGGATTTAGTTCCTGCTTATGTTTCTAATCCAGTTTCCCAATATCCTCTTCTGGTAGTTGTACTTAAGTCATGGGGAACTTCTTTCAGTATTTTTTTTTGATAGTTTATTCCTTTTTATTGCAGAAAAATATTCCATTGTATGGCTATATCACAGTATTTTGTCCATTCACTTATTTTTTTTTAAACAGCTTTATTGGAGTATAATTGCTTTACAATGGTGTGTTAGTTTCTGCTGTATAACAAAGTGAATCAGCTATATGCATACATATATCCCCATATCCCCTCCCTCTCACGTCTCCCTCCCACCCTCCCTATCCTACCACTCTAGGTGGATGCAAAGCACCGAGCTGATCTCCCTGTGCTATGCAGCTGCTTCCCACTAGCTATTTATTTTACATTTGGTAGTATATATTAGTCCATGCCACTATCTCACTTCATCCCAGCTTACCCTTTCCCCTTCCCATGTCCTCAAGTCCATTCTCTACGTCTGCATCTTTATTCCTGTCCTGCAGTTAGGTTCTTCAGAACCATCTTTTTTTTTTTAGATTCCATATATATATGTTAGTATACGGTATTTGTTTTTCTCTTTCTGACTTACTTCACTCTGTATGACAGTCTCTAGGTCCATCCACCTCCCTACAAATAACTCAATTTCATTTCTTTTTATGGCTGAGTAATATTCCATTGTATATATGTGCCACATCTTCTTTATCCATTCATCTGTCGATGGACACTTAGGTTGCTTCCACGTCCTGGCAATTGTAAATAGTGCTGCAATAAACACTGTGGTATATGACTCCTTTTGAATTACGGTTTTCTCAGGGTATATGCCCAGTAGTGGGATTGTTGGGTTGTATGGTAGTTCTATTTTTAGTATTTTAAGGAACCTCCATACTGTTCTCCGTAGTGATTGTTCAATTTACATTCCCACCAAGAGTGCAAGAGTGTTCCCTTTTCTCCACACCCTCTCCAGCATTTATTGTTTGTAGATTTTTTTGATGATGGCCATTCTGACTGGTGTGAGGTGAAACCTCATTGTAGTTTTGATTTGCATTTCTCTAATGATTAGTGATGTTGAGCATTCTTTCATGTGTTTGTTGACAATCTGTATATCTTCTTCGGAGAAATGTCTGTTTAGGTCTTCTGCCCATTTTTGGATTGGGTTGTTTGTTTTTTTGATATTGAGCTGCATGAGCTGCTTATAAATTTTGGAGATTAATCCTTTGTCAGTTGCTACATTTGCAAATATTTTCTCCCATTCTGAGGGTTGTCTTTTCGTCTTGTTTATGTTTTCCTTTGCTGTGTAAAAGCTTGTAAATTTCATTAGGTCCCATTTGTTTATTTTCGTTTTTACTTCCATTTCTCTAGGAGGTGGGTCAAGAAGAATCTTGCTGTGATTTATGTCATAGAGTTGTCTGCCTATGTTTTCCTCTAAGAGTTTGATAGTGTCTGGCCTTACATTTAGGTCTTTAATCCATTTTGAGTTTATTTTTGTGTATGGTGTTAGGAGTGTTCTAATTTCATTCTTTTACATGTAGCTGTCCAGTTTTCCCAGAAGCAATTATTGAAGAGGCTGTCTTTTCTCCATTGTATATTCCTGCTTCCTTTATCAAAAATAAGGTAACCGTATGTGCATGGCTTTATCTCTGAGCTTTCTATCTGGTTCCATTGATCTATATTTCTGTTTTTGTGCCAGTACCATACTGTCTTGATAACTGTAGCTTTGTAGTATAGTCTGAAGTCCAGGAGCCTGATTCCTCCAGCTCCGTTTTTCTTTCTCAAGATTGCTTTGGCTATTCGGGATCTTTTGTGTTTCCATACAAATTGTGAATTTTTTTGTTCTAGTTCTGTGAAAAATGCCATTTGTAGTTTGATAGGGATTGCATTGAATCTGTAGATTGTTTTGGGTAGTAGAGTCATTTTCACAATGCTGATTCTTCCAATCCAAGAATATGGTATATCTCTCCATCTGTTTGTATCTTCTTTAATTTCTTTCATCGGTGTCTTATAGTTTTCTGCAATACAGGTCTTTTGTCTCCTTAGGTAGGTTCATTTCTAGGGGTAGACTTGGGGTTTGCTTTCAGTATTTTTAAAATACCAAAACCATGTCCTACCTCAGGACCATTGCACATGCTGCTCTCTCTGCCTGCAATGATCAATTTCTCCTAATCTCTGCATGACTAAATTATTTCCCTCCCTCTCAGATCTCATTTTAAAAATCACTGTCTCCATGACCACCTTCCTACGACTGTGTCCCCTAAAACTGTTCTTTATGGTATCCCTTGGAGTGTTTCCTCCATTGTGCTTACCATACTTGCCATTGTTTTATTCATTTCTCATTTGTTTTCTATTTATTATATCTATCAGATACAAGGTTTTATAATGTCAGATATAGTATTCCAGTGTGTGTGTGTGTGTGTGTGTGTGTGTGTGTGTTTACCACTGTATTCCTGGCTTCTAGCACAGTGTCTGGCATAAAGCAAACCCACAACAAATGCTTGTAGAATGAGAGACTGAATAAAGTACATTGCTTAGAATGGTATAAGTGCTCAATAAGTGTGGATTAGCATTGCTTTTATGAACTCTCACTTGAATTAGGATGTAATGAACTTGAAAATATCTGTTATTTTAATGGATCTCATATACCTCTTTTAGAAACCCTCTTGGCAGAGTTGCATTAAGAAATTATTTTATCCAAGCCAAACACAATATCAACAAGCCAACACGATAGCTATTGCTGGCATATGACCCTGGCAAATTTTTCTCCTCTATACCAATATGTTGCAATCTTTCAAATTTCCTGTACCTTTTCATGGATATGTGTGGAGCCTCTGACCAACAGTTAGCAAGAAACTGAGACCTGCCAACACACATATGACTGAGCTTAGGGACAGAATCTCCAGCCTCAGCTGACCCCTGAGACAATGGCAGACCCAGCTGAAAGCTTGATTGCAGTATCATGAGAGACCCTGCACCAGGAAAACCCTGCTAAATGGCTTCTGGGCTTCTGAGCCTCAGAAATTGTGTGAAATAGTAGATATTTGTTGTTTTTAGCTGCTAAGTTTTAGATATTTTGTTATGGAGCCATAAATAACTAATACATACTTTGGCACCTGGAAGTGGAATGTTGCTGTAACAAAACTTAAAGTGTGAGAGTGCACTGAAACTGTGTAGTGGGCTTTGAGTTGAGTGTTAGAGAAGGCTAAAGGACCTTGAAGAAGATGCTACTACAAGCCTCATGATCTTTGAGAAGGATGTGAGGTGAAGGCTTATTGGAAACTGGAGGAAGGGAAATTTTTATTACAGATTGTCAGAGACTTTAGCAACATTGTTGCCTGTAGTTGTGTGGAAAGTAGAAAAAGTACCTAATGAAATGGGTGGTCCAGCTCAAGAGCTTTCCAACCAGAGGATTGTCAGTGACACCTGGTTTCTCCTTGCTGCTTATTTGAAAATGTGAGGAGAGAGAGATCAACTAAAGGGAGGATTGTTAAACCAAATGAGTCATGACGTGATTGTTTTTTAGAAATTCTCAGCCTTGCAAGATGGTAGGTGGTGATAAAATGAAGAAATGGCTTCCATGCAAAGATCAAGTACCAGGAAAATATGGCTCAAGGATGAAACTAAGAATGTGACAGTCAAAACTTTTGTTAAGACTTCAGAAATGTCAGAGGTGATGCCTCAGAATAGTATTCACTCAGACAAAAGGCATTCTAAAGGGATCGAGGGTGTGCCTTATAGTTCCTCTGAATGAAGCAACAGGGTTTCTGGGGGATTTAAGATTATGGCCCCTCATCCTGTCAGTGGAAGCCTGTGATAGAGAAGGTCTTCTCCTGAAGAAATCTGTGGGTTTGGCTTTTGTCTAATGCAGTAGAATCCACTAAGAGTCATGAAAGACTTACAAAGTCTTAAATGGAATTACATAAGCAGAGAAATCGCCTGCTTTGATTGAAAAGACCAGAGAGAGGACAAAATAAAAAGAGCCCTCTGGACTCTAAAATTCTACTGGCAGGAAGAAGGGTGAGAAAACTACTTCGCTGCAAACTTGTGCTACCTTCCGTGAAAAAAGGAAGGAAGATCCAGAAGATGGAACCAAGAATCCAGAGGACACAGCTGAGAGCCACAGAGAATTACTCCCAGATCTTGAGACTTAATCAAGGAACTTCCAACATTTGTCTGGATTTCATAATTACTATGGACTCATGGTTCCAGCCTCTTCTTATTCATATCTTTTTGTAATTCCCTCCCACAATTGTACCAGAATTGATCTGTATGACCAGTAGCATACAGTAGAAGTGATGGTATGTCATTTCCAAGATTAGATTATAAAGGGCTGCAGCTTCCATTATCAGCTCTCTGTCTCTCTCTCTCATTCTCTTATCATTCGCTTTCACTAAATATGTTGACATTTGCCTATATGATACCCTTTCAGAACATCTGGAGGAATGCTTTAATAGGATTACTATATATTATAGTTTG